CGGCGGGAGCGCCACCGCACTCCCAAGCGGCGCACTGTAGCATGCGCCACCGGGCCGGCCCGAAACCATGCCCTTCTAATATGAAATGTTAAGAGAGCACTAATGATGGGAAGTGTTTAGGATTCAGGCATGCATACAGCAACCTGACATTGTGGGAGGAGCAGAGCCTTTAGGTTACTTTTCAAACACCCCTAGAGTTTGATTGCTTTGATTTCTGCCCCTAACTCCCATTACTATCCATGTCCACCAAGAGAATGGGGACAGAGAACTGCGTCCTCCTAGTTTCTCAATGATCTATTCCTTCCACTTTCTCATCTCCCCTTCAGAGCCTTTTGTCCTCCAACATAAACTTCACAGGAGTTGGGGAAGTGGATGAGAGGCTCATCTGGGTTGGGGCTCAAGGGGAGAATGCAATAACTGTGCTTTTTTGTGTTGTTGTTGTTAAAGGTGTTTGGCATTTTGGAGAAAGCTAAAGAGCAATTTGATTTAGAAGATTATTCCATCAGTCAGATAACACTGGAGCAAGTTTTCCTTACCTTTGCTAACCTGGATAATCAGCCAAATAGGAAAAAATGGTGCTATGAAATTCATTTGGAACCAGTGACCCCTATGTCTCTCTCAGCCTGGATACATAGCGGGGCTTTCCTATGTGTGTATGTCTTGGTGTAAATATATTTATGTAATAAAGATTTCCCCAAAGGAGAAAGTTTGTCTCCTTTGCAGATTTAGATGGGTATCCTGTGTATCCAGCATGTGCAAATCTAAAGACATTTGGTGAGATCCGTGTTTTCTATCCTAGAAATACGAAAAAGCAGCATTGATCAGGGTGGGAAGAAGAACCTATACGTGGATGTTTCAATAGAAACATCCAGAAATGATGGTGCTATCAGATTGGACAGCCCAAAAAACAAGAGCTTTATGTTTTACCAGGTGAGTTATGGATAAAAAGAGTACAAGGCCTGGAGCAAGTCCTCTTTCTTATGGATAAGCGCATGTGTGCACACACACATACATACATGTATGCAAACATACACACACATGCATACACACACTCACCAATTTCATACCAAAAAGAGTTTAAAATCAAAGTTTAAAGAATAAGTTGTGTTATTATTTCCAAAAGTCAAACCATGATTTTACCTACATTTGTAAGGGAACCTTTGCATGGAGAACATTCAGTGCCCAGGAACAGAAAGCAAAAACATTCTTTAAAAAGTGTATTCTCCGGCCGGCCCGGTGGTGCACTTGGTAGAGTGCGGTGCTTGGGAACGTGGCGGTGCTCCCGCCGAGGGTTCGGATCCCATATAGAGACCGGTCCGCTCACTGGTTGAGCGCAGTGCGGGCACAACACCGAGGGTTGCGATCCCGTTACCGGTCACGAAAAAAGACAAAAAGGAAAAAAAAAAGTGTATTCTCTTTCCTGCTCTAATTAAGAAGAAATGAAGTGGAGAGGGAAGTAGACAGCTCTTCTGATAACTGGGCAGATGGGATCCCTCCAAAGCAATATGACAGATCTAATCACCTCTCCAGGATTCATGGTCAGATGAGCAGACTGGGCCTTGTCAAACTGCAAAATGAAAAGAGTCCATGAATCTGCTCTATTCTGGGGTAACTTGCTCAAGGTTTCCACATCCTCAATTGGATACTGTAATAAAGCAGTATCTAGAAGTTACTCTCTGTTCTATTACTTTTAGCCGTAGTATAACTTCCCATGGCTTACATTCCCATGCCATAGATCTCTGGCAACTGATTTCAGTAATTACAAAATTTGTGTCTCAGTACGGCCATCTCTAAAAAGGGAAAAGGAACTCATTTTATTAAACTCTACCGTGCACGTAGTTCTGAGCCTACATGTCTTAAGACAATCACATTGTCTGTGCCCCCAGCTCTCCCAGGGGTGCATTTATAAAGGTCTCTCAGTTGGCTTCATTAATGATCCTCCTTAAAATTACTCCGGTAGTCCCTCTCACTGCCCCTCACTGTCCCCTGTCCCACCTCTTCACCTCCCAGTAAGAAACAAAACTATTAGGTGTCAGGCCTTCTACTAAAGACTTTCCTTGCAGTGCATTATTATTCAGTCCCAGCACAACACTCCGAGCTGGTGAGGTGCCCTCACCGTCCATGGAAGGCTCAGAAGATGTGACCAAGGTCACCCCGCAAGCAAGCAGCTGTATCAGTCGGNACTCCGGTAGTCCCTCTCACTGCCCCTCACTGTCCCCTGTCCCACCTCTTCACCTCCCAGTAAGAAACAAAACTATTAGGTGTCAGGCCTTCTACTAAAGACTTTCCTTGCAGTGCATTATTATTCAGTCCCAGCACAACCCTCCGAGCTGGTGAGGTGCCCTCACCGTCCATGGAAGGCTCAGAAGATGTGACCAAGGTCACCCCGCAAGCAAGCAGCTGTATCAGTCGGGGTCCCCATCAGGAGACAGGAAAGCACACAGCAAACTGACCGGGGAAGTTTAAGGAATATTAACCATGACAGGGGATGATCAGGAGGTAAAAAGAACTGTAACGAATATTCCGCCCTACGGCTGAGGGGAAATACCCGAGGACCAACCAACCTTGGAAGAGGCCCCTGCCGAGGCTGCGACCCAGGCCTTCGCTCAGGTGTAGCTGTCACAAAGTCACCGAACAACAGCGGAGCATCCCTCAGGGTACCAGCCGTCTAGGCTGGCCAAGGGGGACAGCGACCGGGTCTGGGAAGCGGGAAACACTTCTGTGGACTTGTGGGCAGGCCGGCGCCAAGCAGCAGACAACGGGGGTCACCAGCGTGACTCCCCACAAC